CTTACAACTGGTTTTATATGTTAAAATTGTGAGGGGAATAAATCTTATTTAATATATATATTTTTATCTTAATTATATTAAATTATATATATATTTTTTTCTTTATTTTTTTGGGGAGAGAGCATGAAAGAGAGAGAATCCCAAGCAGGCTCCGTGCTGTCAGCACAGAGAGAGCCCCATGCAGGGCTTGATCATACCAACTGTGAGATCATGACCTGAGCCTAAATCAAGAGTCAGATGCTCAACTGACTAAGCCACCCAAGTGCAACCCTTATTTTAGATAAAAGGTATAAAACAAAAAATCCAAAAACCTACATGTTCCAAGGACCTCCTTAAACTGCATACCTATTTTTACAGAAGAAGAAAGGGATGCAAAAAATAAAAGTATCCTGACTACGTCAGAGAGAACTATGCGACTGTTGCCAGAAATACTTGGTAACTTGCTGTTTGTGTTAAATGAGGCAATTTTCTGACAGTTATACTATTGCTATATGTCTGATATGAGTGTGTGCCTAATGGTCTTTGAAACTATCCCAAAGTGTGCAGTCCAGTTAGTACCCAGTGTTGACTGAACCATATGTGTACTAACTTGTGTCAATATTTTGCTTATGATGATGGAAAACAGTCCCAGTTGTCTGAGGTTGTACTTGCTAGGGCTTTGGAAGCAAAATCTTCCCTTAAGACCTTGATAGATGATGAGATCTTGTCTGAATTATAGTTAGGAAGTCATCAAAGGTACTCTGTCTTCTTAATCCTATGACATCTGCCTGTTCCATCAGGGAGATATAGTCACTAAATGTAAGACTGGCTCAGCTGCTTCTATCAGTGTAGTTTTTAAAAGCAGGGACACTTCTGTTCTTATTTCAGCTCTGCTAATTACCAGCTTTGTTACTTTGGAAACATTACACAATCTTCCTGAGCCTTAGTATCCTCATTGGGAAAGCCTGAGATAGTAATCCCAACTTCACAGAGTTGCCATCATGGTCAAATAACATAGTGTGTACAAAGACCTGAAGAGAGTACATAAAGGTGCATAAAGGGGGTTGAAAAATGACAACCATGATTACTACCATTATGAGTTCCTTAAGAAATGTTCAGTTCCTTTGTGATTCTTAAATGCTGTCAGGGATAAGTGATGGAACAAAGTGAAATCATTTGGTAGATTTTGCATCTAGGAAACCACTTAATGCCAGGCAAATTGGCCTGCTGTTGACTGTTTGAAGCATGATTCATTTTCAAAACTTTGCACTATTTTGAGAAGTTAACTATATTATGCATTCTTAAACAATTTTAGCAGCATAGCTTTTGCCAAAGAATGACATAATTTGACCTTCTTTGCGCAAAGGATAGGGACATAAAGATAATGAAGAAGAGAAGAATGGAAGAGCTTTATTCCAAAGGGACCAACCAAAACCAAAAAAGTTCAATGAGGATCTTTTAAGAGTTCCATAACTTTCATTAAGTCCCAACTTTTGCCGTTTTGCTAATTCATCTCCATTTCCCCATGCACATAAGCAAAAAATCTATAAAAACTTGACTTCTTGCTACTTGTGTACTATTAGGCAAGTCGTTTCATCTTTTGGTACCTCAGTTTCTTAAGCAGTCATTTGGGAATAAAATAATGCTAACTTATAGAGTTACTAGGGATATTAAATAAATCTTAAAAATATTTAATATTATAAGTATTCCATAAAAATAACTTAGCAATGAGTCTTTCTTTAAAGTCATATTTGAAAAGGAGTTAAAATCAATTAGTAGTAAAGTTCCTTCTTCCTTCAGATTTGCAACTTTAAAAACAAATATAGAAAAAAAAAAAAAGAGTCCATGAGCTTAACCAGGGGAAGAAGTAGAATAAGGAGGTGGTGGTGGATTTGGCCATGGACAACTGGGAAGTGGGGAAAGTGGGAGAGTCTGAGGGCTGGCGCTCTGGATTTGCAAGAAGGAAGCCGAGGATGAGGACACCTCCTAGAGAGACGGAAAAGACCCCTACACATGACCCTGTGGCAAGACACCAGGCCCTAAATGACCCCTCCCAGTGATGCAAATTCCCCATATAGAGATGTTAGACCATGTTCTCTTCAGAATGACCATCATCCAAAACACCAAAGGATGCTTTAACCAAACTCTTTGTGAACTTCACGGTCTTCACTATTCAATACACATTCTTCCCAGAGGACATTCTCCTTGTCATGAGCAAACATTTGATAATGTTACCTCACAAGAGAGCACCATGTTCTGACTGATAGGTGAAAGGGGTAGTTTTTAGGAACCGGCTCCAGACAGAAGGGTAATTCCCCATGAATCCATGCCTCATGTATCGACATATCTATACACACATGCACAGGCACACAACACGTGAAGGAACTGCTTACCTAGCACCGGACCATTTGGAAGAGAGTTTATTCTAAAACATGGGTTTCTGGACAAGTATATTTTACTCATCCAGCTAAATACCTCCATAAATAAGAAATGTCCTCAACATCACAATCTAACTTCAACCAAATCAGTTATAAGCTACTCTCTTAGATTGTTGTCTTAAAAAGGGTGATGCCCCTCCTATCGTGTTTTTGAAGATGCCAACATTTCAGATTACGTTAATATTCCCCATGCCCCCCCACCCCAACCTCTTTAATTCTCCCTAGGAAATTCCTATCTTTTTCCACGTAGATCATGAGCTTCATGAGCAGAGAGGCCAATTCATCTTGGTAGCTCTTACAGTGCCTAGATGGAGGCATCCCACAGAGTAGGCATTAGTAAATGTTTGAGTGGAAGGGAGGGAAGACCAGAAGAAAGAGAAAGGGAAATTAATGGAGGGAGTAACCTGCATACCTTAATCCTAATAGTTGCACAGATATGACTGGGAAGCCCTCTCCAATAATCCCATTTCTATTAATATCTGCTACAAAGCCAAGCCAAGGCCTCCCAGAGACGTTTACTTTTTCAAGGCGCACTGGGCATACCACCCTTACTAGGGTCATCTCAACAGGTGATAAGCTCTTCTTTGCTATACTGACAGAATCTCAGTTCATCAGAAAACACATAACCAGGATCCTGCAATCTGCTCAGAGCAGAGCCAGCATTAGAATTCAAAGCCCTAAAGCTGCAGGACAATGTTTTATCCCACTTTATATATGTGACAGCACATTGATATTATCAGACATTTAGTAGGTGCTCTATAAATAGTGCTTGAATGAGTCTCAGAAGTGAAATTAACTCTTAGGTAGGGGAAAACTATTATGATTAAATGCTTTACCTGTGAAGAAACCAAAGCTTAAAGAGGTTAAGTATATTCCCCAAGATGTCGGCAAGAGCATAGCCAGCAGGGCTCCAAGTATAGTGTTACATTAGTCTGTCCCAACGTGAACAAGTGAAAGGCATCCTGTCTGCCCTGGATGCTGCACAGATCAGAGAGCAATTGAGTGGAAAAGCAATGTGTCCTTGCTTACACCCTCAAGATCATACAAAATTTGCATATTCATAAAAAAGATTAATTGATAGTCATGCCCAAATAAATATGACTGCGTGATGTCAGAAATGCTCTTCTCCCTTCTTCGACTGATTTTCTGTGTGACTTTGACCATGACACCTGATCTTTGTCTCATCTATAAAATAGGGGCCGGGGGAATCAAGGATCTCTGCAATCTCTTAGCCAACTTTAAAATGTTCTGATTCTACAGCATACCTCCACATCTTTATCTTCCGGCATCACTTCTACCTGGAAGGCTGCAGAGATAGTCATTCTCTACTCAGGACAAATATCTTACCACATTACACAGAGAACAGAGAAGACAGTAGAGTGATGTACTGTGGGTCTTTAAGCTTTATCATAGAACAACCAAAAAGAGGGAGATCTTTTGTAAATCCTGTCAACGTCGTGTCTATACCAAGAAGAACTTCTAAACAGAAGTGTTGTGAATTCCAAGCAAAAGATTCATGATATTGGGGAGGTGGGAGGTGAGGAAAACCCTTCTACTAATCCGAAGTAAAACAAAAAGTACTATAATTTGAGTCTGGAGGTTTTTTGTTCTTTTTCTCCCTGGGAGCTATCTGCTCCGGCTTGATGCTATTGTTTTTCCCAAGAGAGAATGCAGCTGTTGCTGTATGTCTGGGGGGAAGATATCCATCACCCAGAACGTATCACAAGCTATTAATAATGTATCATTGCAAATCTACCTTGCCTCAATAAACACCCTGTCTCCAAGTACAGATAAAAGGTCCAGCAGGCAGATGTTGGGATTTATTATCCTCACATTTCCTATTTCATATTTCTCTAAGGATGGTGTCCAGTATCAGGCTTATCCTATGGGTAGAGTAGGAAGAGTAAACTAACATTTGCTTAGTGACTTCTGTCTGCCAGATGATTATATGAAATTATATCAATGGCCCTGAGAAGTAGGTTTTGACAACCCCAATTTGCAGGTGAAGAAACTGATGCTCAGAGACGGGAAGTAACTTGTCTAGGAACACTCAGCTTGCAAGTACCAGAGAGGAGAAAAACCATCTCCCAGGTGTCTGGCTACAAAACTCTTTCTCTGTCCTCTGTAGCTCAGGGTTACATCAGTGGCAGTTTCACCTTTCCCACTCTACTTCCATAGTTCTGTATATAATAGGTGCTCAGGCAAGCCTGACCAAATTTTAATTTTTGAGAAGTGAACATGGAATATGTCTTTGAGGACTGCTGTCTGAAAAGGGATTCCTACACATGAGCAGGGATGTGAAACTGCAGCGCATGAAGCCATCTCCCAAAGAGGTGGTTGATTCCTGAGGTTTCCTATTTCTTTGCCTCATTCTTCATGTTGTTTACAGTGTCTGCGATTGAGCTGATAGAAACGCAGCCCTTTTCTATCCCTTCACTATGGAACATTTCAAGTTGCACTTATGCTTATCCATTTCAGTCTTCCCTGCTTGGTTGAGGAGGGGGTGTTACACATGTGCCCTTCACCTCATATTTTAGCATTTCACACAAGTGATGGGAGAAACAGACAGACCAACGCTCTTACCCTCTATGCCCTTGCCCTCTCCACCCACCGCATGCTTAGCTCCTTTTCAAGAGATAGGATGGAGTTGTTTGACATTCAGTTGGCCATGATTCACTGCTGGACGGGGTCACACTGTTCTGAAAAGTAATGAGCATCTATTAGCGCACTGTCCAGAATGAGGCACGAGACCAGCCCACCTCAACCATGCAGTTGATCTGGGAAGAGGATACAACACCCACTCCAGGAGCCCAACTGTTATAGATTCAAAGAGGAAAAAGAAAGACAGCCCTCACTCCAATACGATTTCCTAAGAGGTTCTAAACTGGGAACCGCAGAGTAATGATATCTGAGCTAAGAATATAATTGATGCTATGTTTCTCCATAATTATTGCTATTGTGTATATACCTCCCTAGGTCCACGAACCCAGAATGGAAGAGGGGACACGGGCACTGAAACCCCATCCAAATTTCCAGCTACTCTCACTAGATTACATTCCCCTTGAAGGAAGGGCAAGTGCTGACAATTGTACCACAGCTATGTTAGTGATTCCAATGGAGTGTGCTGGCAATTTTCATGTTCAAATCTGCCCTTTTAGGTCACATTTGTATAGATGCAAAAAATGAGGCTTGGAAAGAAGTCAGGTAACTTGCTCAATGTATATAGCTGATAAAAGGCAAAGTTGGGATTTCACCATGATTTAAAGAAAAAAAAATGCATTTCTTGGTATCTGTGCCTCTGCTGCAGCTGTTTAGGAAAATGCAGCATATATGCTTAGTCCTCAAGGAATTAAAAAGCCAAACTCAAATTCCCTGGGTATCTACATGCCCTTGAAGGAAAGCACTCATCCATTTCCCTTTGAAGCAGCTTCCAGAGATAGCCAGAGTGTTGTGCAAGGGAGTTCTCGTAAAAATAGGCACCGCTCACTGGGCTCCATTTCTGCAGCCCCAGAAGGATGTAAAACCCCGCGTGGTCATAAGAAAACTGAACAATTTTACTGACAAATTAAAGGTTTGGGAAGCAGCAGGAGAAACTGGTCAGCTACAACTTCAGAAAAAAGTGCACTGAACATTTCAAAGCCTTCACTTCAATTATGGAGGGAGCCGCGGAGGTCTGGGAAGTGGTCCCCAATGGGTGTGCACCCAGCATTAAATATGTGTTCTTGCACTCAGCAGGGCTTGAGCTCTTTTAAGGAGGGACTGGATAGTAGGAGAGGGAGGGGTGGAAAAGAGTGAGAGTGAGAGAGAGCAGAGATGGGAGGGGTTCTGAAACATCTGCCAAGGAGAAGTCTTGCTCTGGTCATCAAATGGTACAGCAAACGAATGGGATTTTACAGATGCTGCTTACAAAGGGAGGACCACAGTGAGTGAGGAACTGGTCTGAGCTCCTCGTTCCTTGGCAATAAAGACTGGCATTGGCCGAAAAAAATGAATAAGCAAGAAATATTGGTGAAACATGTCCACATAATTTTAACGCACATTTTATATGTATAATATATGATGCATAGGATCATCACTGTTTCTATTCTTGTATCCATATTTTATAGAAAACAGAGTAAAGTTCAGAAAGTTTAAACAAGGTAATTCATAAATGGCAGACCAATCGCCATCTTTTCCTTAGTCTTTTGAACCATTTAGGAGCCGCCAAGATGCATTTTTCTCCAGGAAGTCCTCCTTATTGCTTCAGGTGTGGGTTAAGTGCCACCATAGCTGTGTTTCTACTCTATCCCAGTACCTGCCACTTGTATTCTAAGGGTCTTGAGATCTCTGTCTCCTCCACTAGACCTTAGGCTCCCTAAACTAGTCAGCTGCCAGGTTTATTTACTGTGTCACCCCTAGCCCCCAGCACAGTCCATGTGCAGTATGAAAGTGAGGTTTTGAATGAACCATCTTGGATCTCTCTTACTCTCCTTCTTACCCAAGGTCCACACTCTGGGTTTTTATGTCTATCCTCTTCCTCTTCATCCTCCTTCCTCTCTATTACCCCATAAAACCCTGTCAGCTGCAAGCCAAGAAAATTACTCAGTACATGACTTCGCTACAAGGCAAAAATAATAGAAGAGAGCGCCATTCATTTTCCATCCCAGTGATGTCTGCCTTTGAGTAACAGAAATAACTGTCGTTTACTGAGATGCAAATGATAACAGCAGGGTTGAACATAACAGCTGATTTTCCCTGAGAATTTAGCCTGCCCCTTTCCTTTTGCAAGTACTTCCTCATTTAATTCTTCCAATGGTCATGAAACCCTACGAAGTATCATCATCCGCTTTCATAAGTGAGGCTCATAGATGCTAAATCCTTAACCAAGAACACACGACAATAATTTGAAAGTACTTCTATCTAATTCGGAAGTCAATAAGGTTTCTCTTACATCAGCTGCCTTTCTAATATGAATAACTGCAATGGTCATACACTGAGCATCTCCTGTGTGCTTTATACTTCATGTATATAAGTCATGTAATGAGTTAATGCACCCAGAAATAAAGTTAGTACCTCTTTATGGATTGATATATGAGGAACTTATGGAGCTAAGATGATTTGGAGAGGTTAAGGCAAGCAGCTGTACCTAACGACCTCTTGAGTAACAGACAGTATTCTAAAGATTTATGAGCAAAACATCAAGGAAAATTTACAAGTCTTTAAGCACAATTTTATTATATAATGAAGGCAGGGACTCCTCCATCTTTGCCTAAGGGTTGTCTCCGTGGGGCTCCACAATGTGGCAACTCGGGCATATGGCCCCCTTCCAAAGGAAGGCCCTGCTCATTGTGGCTGACAGGCCATGTCTCAACACAATCTCTTTAGATTCACGATGGAATGGCAATTATTTAAAATTGGCTCAGGTCTGCATACTCCACTGGATTCCTTTTTATCCCACTTTAAGTGTTTCCCTTGGGACCACTTAAACAGCTCTATCTTTTTAATGACAAACTATCCATCGACAGGACTGGAAATGAAATCAAGCTTTTGTTTAGCAACCAGTCTGTTTATTTATTTTCCAAGTTCATGAGTTTATATGTATGCTGCTCTTAATGGGCAGTGCATAAAAATGCCTCTTTTTATTTTCTTTTCATTTGCATTGTTGCTGATAATGGCTATTATCAAGCCATTAGAGGCGGAAAAGTACCGTTTTTGCCTTCCAAGATGGGTTGCATTTGTGTATGTGTGTTCTATGCAGATTGGCCAATATGTTAAACTTTCTTTTTTACTTCTTTCTCCGATACAGATGGCTTAATGTCAGCCACATGATTTTTCTCACTTATGCATGGAATTATATACATATATATTTATGTATACAATTATACACATATGTACGTGCGTACACATATATGTAGATGCACACGCACATATTCACATACACATATGAACACTCACACACATGTGTATATACACAAACATTCATACATACACACAGAAAATCTGCTTTGTCTTTTTTTTTTTAAGTTTAAATTCAACTTACTTAAGATATAGTGTAGTATTCGTTTCAGGAGAAAATCTGCTTTTTCAATCAAAATGAAAAGTCTGTGCCAGGGATGTGACATGCGTTCTACACCACATCAAAATCTGAAGCATTGTTATGTAAATCTATGACACCACGGTCTTGTTTTAAATAAAAGGCATGACGGACTGAGTCTCTCCCATAGGTAGCCCATTTAAGCTTTCATGGTTAACTAAAATCATTGTTGAGTTGTATCTGAGAGGCACAATCATATGGATAAAAACTAAGGAAAGTCATTCTTCATTCAGATGTTTCCAAATGTCTACTTAATGTAAAAACACAAAACAGTCAAATTTGGGAACTTATGTTTCAAAAGATTTCATCGATTCTTGAAAGTGGCATTTGTTTAGATTATTTTATGGGAGGGTTAGAAGAAGACATTCACTTTTGTTTTTGATAGCATTTTAGGTGAGATGGGTAAAATGAAGTTAACTAGCATTCATTGGATATTATCATGTCCTAGGTCTTTTGTAAATATTATTTGACATTGTCCTCTATGAAGAAGGTCATGCTTTAAAATATACATCACTTCTATGAAGTAGTATTTTCACTTTATGTGTTGGTGGAGCTGAGAATCAAATGTGACTGTTGCCAACTAGCAAAGCTCAGATGGACAAGGCCCCAAACATGAAGGAAGGCCCAGTTGTCTGGTAGATTACGAAAGCTAAGCTCAGGGGCACCCAGGTGGCTCGGTCAGTTGGGCGTCTGACTTCGGCTCAGGTCATGATCTCATGGTTTGTGAGTCTGAGTCCCAGGTCAGGCTCTGTGCTGACAGCTTGGAGCCTGGAGTCTGCTTCAGATTCTGTGTCTCCGTCTCTCTGCTCCTCCCCCGCTCGCACTGTGTCTCTCTCTTTCTCAAAAATAAATAAGCATTAAAAAATTGTTTTAAAAAAATGCTAAGTTCAGTCTTGCCCTGGAATCAAGGCCTGGAGTAACAAACTATATTAGAACAGTGGTTGTCAGCTGGAGCATTTTGCCCTCCCAGGGGACACTCGGCCATGTCTAGAGACATTTCTGGTTGTCACACTGGAGGTGGGGTGCTAGTGGCATATAGCAGGTAGAGGCCAGGGATGCTATAAGCGAGCCCTCCCCAACAAAAAAGCATCTGGCTTTTTTGTCAACAGTGCTGAGGCTGAGAAAGGCCTCCTCCATCTAAGACCCCGATGTTCCTCTGTATTTTATCACTCCTGTCATTTTATATAGATCAGCATTCTAACCACGATCTGGGAGACAAATGTAATGTTAGCATGTGCATTGGAAAGAAGCATAGGGTAGGGGGACAAAATGCAAACCCTGACTCTGCTACCTACAGCTTGTACCTCATGGGGGAATGACTTACCCTCTTGATGACTGAGTTTCCTCATCCGCGAATTAGGGAAATACTAGCACAAACCTCATACATGGGGTTCTTCAAAGGATTAAGTGAGAGAATTTGCATGAAGAGTTTAGTGAGACAGTTTAGTGAAGGGTAAATGTTCAACCACTTCGCTGTTATTCTTATTTTCACTGCTGTTATTATTACTTCATGACTTATTTCCATTTTCTGGAAAGCACTCAGTTTTTAATACTACCTTCATTTTTTAAGAAAGCTTTTATCTCAAGGTTAGGTAGACCTGCTTTCACTCATGTTTGATTGCAGAC